TGTTGAGGCCTGGTCAGGTGTCACCCGCTGCCAGGAATCCCCTGCTGTCTTCCTGGGGAGTAGACTGGCCCCAGGGCTCATGGAGAGGAAGATGGGGCGGGGCAGAAGGCCGCAGTGGGACTCCATTGCCCCTCCCTGGGGAATTCCACTGTCCCTCTGCTGGGAAGCTCTTTTGGGGGTAGGCACCCGCGAAGCCCACCGTTGGGGAGTGCAGGGCGGTATCCACATAAATGTTTTGGAATTCGTGTGCATCGGACTTTTGTCTGTTCTCTTCCATCGATGTCTTCATATGATCTCTTATTTACAGCAGTGTGGACGCTGGCTGTTTATATATTTTCAGTTATAGTGTAACACTGTTTTGTTGTTCAAAATGTCCGTCTTTGGCCACCGGTGCTCTCAGTTGGCTTCTGTATTCTTTTGACATCCCCCCATCACTGTGTGCCTGTGTGTGTGTGTGTGTGTGTGTGTGTGTGTGTGTGTGCGCGCGCGCACGCGCGCACTTCCTTACTTTCTGGCTCCAAGCTCATCTTGTATATTTCCTACCCCCAGTCGGAGAATCAGCCACTGATCCAAGGAGCCATTTCTTCGAGAATGGCATCAGAGGCGAAGATCCGGGCTCCAGGTGTGTTTATTGCTACTGAAGTCACGTTGCTTCTGGACCCTCTCAACTGACAGGGCAGGGCTGTTGATATATATGTTGATATATATAACCTGCATAGACACACATGTCTCTAAACATGTATCTATCGGTCCATTTTGTGTCACCATAAAGGAATACCCTAGACTGGGTACTTTGTAAAAGAAAAGAGCTTTATTTTGATGGTCCTGCAGGGCACCAGCCTCTGCTGGGCTTCTGGTGAGGCCTCAGGAAGCTTTTACTCATGGTGGAAGGCAAGGGGGGCAGGCGTGTCGCATGGTGAGAGCAGGAGCGAGACAGGGAGGAGGTGCCAGGCTCATTTTAGCAACCAACTCTGGTGTAAAGTGCTGGAGCGAGAACCCTCTCATTACCGTGAGAACCGCACCAAGCCACTCATGACGGACCCGCCCCCATGGCCTCTCCAACTCCCACTAGGCCTCACCTCCAACACTGGGGATCACATTTCAACGTGGGATTTAGAGGGGGCAACATCCAAACTACATGTATATCTACATATCTAAAGATATCTCTATTTGTCTGTCTTCATCATCACCTGTCATCTGTTTATCTCCATCCACACACACACATATGTGCATCGGTTCCCATGTTGAACTGAACGCAAGCTCATGCTACTGTTTGCAGCCATGACCATGACCACACAGGTCATCCTAGCCTTCGCCCTCCTGGTCTGTAACTCCCTCTCTAAAAGTAAGAACCCTGGCTCCCACCGCCTGCCATCCATTGACACAGCTGTTTAACTTCAGTGCAGAGGTAGAGCAGTTTCAGACTGGTTAGAGGGGAAGAGTTTTATCACTTGGAGGACAGTGGTTCTGTGTAGTTCCTTTGACTCTTGGTCTTACGGTTGCCTCCCATTCTCAGAGTGGCTGACATCAGCCCTTTTCTCCCCACCCCCTTCAGCAAAGCTGTTCTGTACATTTCCAATACAGTCCTGTCACAGCTGAAGGACATCTGGGTTGCTTCCAGTTTTTGCCGATTATGAATAAAGCTGCTATAAATATTCGTGTGCTGATTTTTGTGTGGACTGAAGTCTTCAGATCATTTGGGTAAGTGGCAGGGAGTGTGGCTGCTGATGGTGTGATGAGAGTGTGTTTAGCTTCGTAAGGACCCGCCGTTTGTCTTCCAGAGTGACTGGACCATCCTACGTTCCCACCAGCGGTGAATGAGTGTTCCCGTGGCTCCACTGCCTCGCCAACAGTTGGTGTTGTCAGTGTTCTGGATTTGGGCCATTCTAGTAGGTGTGTGGCAGTCTCTCCTTGTGGTTTCAATTTGCAGTTTCCTCATGCTGTTTGACATTCAGCATCTTTTTATATGCTTATTTGCCATTCGCATTTCTTTTTTGGAGAGGTGTCTGTTCAGATCTTTCACCCACTGAAGAATTGCGTTGTTTGTTTTGTCATTGTATTTTAAGAGTTCTTTGTAGATTTTGGGTGCCAGTCCTTTATCAGATATGAGCTTTGCAATGATTCGTCCTCAGCTTGTGGCTTGTCTTCTCATTCTCTTAACAGCGTTGTTTGCACAGCAAACATTTTACATTTTGTTGTAGTGTAATTTATCTTTTTTCTTTCATGGATTACGTTTTCCATAGTATATCTAGAAAATTCGCCAGATATGGTGGCTCATGCTTGTAGTCCCAGCACTTTGGGAGGCTGAGGTAGGAGGATCACTTGATCCCAGAAGTTTGAGGCTGCCGTGAACTACGATTGTGCCACTGTACTCCACCCTGGGTGACAGAGCGAGACTCTTGTCTCCAGAAAAATAAATAAATGAAAACAAAAATTTATTGTCAAGCCCAAGGTAACACAACCTTTCGCCTGTGATTTCTTCTAGAAGTTTTCTTGTTTGGCATTTTCATTTAAGTCTGTGATCCACATGAGTTAATTTTTTGGATAAGGTGCTCCTGAGAATATTTTGAAAGTTTTCTTGCCACTGCCATCGCCGAACACACATGCATTCTGAAGTTGCAAAGGGCGCAATTTCTGGTGTATCATAAATACACGATACAATGATTTTTTTTAAAAGCTGGACTATCACTTTTTACATGAGGCCAGTGGCATTTCAATCTCCTTGTGAACTGACGCCTGTGTCCCTCTCCAACTCCGTTCACCGGCTGTTTCCCAGGCCTACCTCTGTCCATGTGGGACCTTTTATTCCTCACACCGTCGTACTTCTCGGAAACACAGGTATGCGTAAGCCAGTGCGATTTCTTTTTATAGACTGTGACCATGGAGCAGAGCTTTGATGGTGCTCCTTCTGGCTTGCTCAAAGCAGCCTCATGGATGAGACATTCTGGTGAGTAAGTCCCTGTAGGTATCCGCTTGTTGCTGCCAGGAGGAGGGACTCACGATGACCCCACTTTTTTCTTTTTAGATGTCAGCCCCTGGAGACCTCTTTCACAGTAGGACTGGGGGGGAGGGGGCAGAGTTGGTAGGGCCCTCTGAGATTTCCCGATTTTAGAAAAACTTTTTTTCCTTAGACAATCTCTCTCTCCTTCCTTCTTTCCTTCCCCTCCCCCCTCCTTCCCTCCCTCCCTTCCTTCCTTTAGACTTGGGGTTTCACTCTATCCCCCGGGCTGGAGTGCCGAGGCACGATCATTGCTCACTGCAGCTTCGACCTCCTGGGCTCAGGCCATCCTTCCACCTCAGCCTCCTGAGTAGCTGGGACTGCAGGTGCATGCGACCACGCCTGGCTAATTTTTTGATATTTTGTAGAGATGAGGTCTCGCTATGTTGCCCAGGCTGGTCTCGAATTCCTGGGCTCAAGCAATCCTCCCACCTCGGCCTCCCAGAGTGCTGTGATTACAGGCATGAGCCACTGCGCCCAGCCAGCGTTTCTCTTTGGAATGATGAAAATGTGCTAAATTATAGTGATGATTGCACAACTCTGCAAATATACTAAAAACTATTCAACTGCACACTTTAAACAGGTGAACGTTATGGTTTGTGAGTTATATCCTTTTTTGTTTGAGTTGGGGTCTTACTCTGTGCCCAGTTTGGAGTGCAGTGGCATGATCATGGCTCACCAGAGCCTCGACCTCCTGGGTCTGCCTCAGCCTCTTGAGTAGCTGGGACTACGGGCATGTGCCACCACATCCAGCTAATTATCTGGTTTTTTTTGTTTTGTTTTGTTTTTTTGTAGAGACGAGGTCTTGCTATGTTGCCTAGGCTGGTCTTGACCTCCTGGACTCAAGCAATCCTCCCACCTCAGCCTCCCAGAGTGCTGGAATTACACCCGGCCTAGACAGTTACTTATTAGCAAGATTTCCCAATTTTTGGACAGGGTACCCGTGAGAGTTGAGGTTTTGAAAAATGACTTTTAAGAAACTTGTCTGGCTGACTCAGGTGACCGCGCCTCTACAGAATATCAGTATCTGCTGATTTTGGGGTGAAGGTTTGTATTCTGTCATCTAGTGCTTGTTTCCTGAGTGCCTCCCCCAGGCTGGGTGGGCAGAGACACAGGTGGGAGCGGCTGCCTTGGTGAGGAAGACCAGGCGGAAAGTGATTTGCAGTGGTGGCGGGTCTCGGGGGCTGGCATGGTGAGGAAGAGGGAGTGGAGGAGAAGGGGCCAGCGCAGAGCCCAGGCCACCGGCAGGACTCGGCTTTGACTTGGAGCGGCATGGAGAGCCGAGCAAGGGTGGCATGCTCTGGCTAGAGGGAGGCTCTGGCTGCTGGGTAGAGAAGAGAACGAGGCGAGGGACTCTGAGGGGAGGCAGAGGAGCCCAGGGAGTGCAGATGGAGGCTCAGGCTGCGCGGCAGAGTGGCGGTGGTAGACCCGATGGCCGGCTTGACCTGTCTGCGGAGGGGACGTTAAAGCAGACAGGGGGCAGAGGCAGACAGCCGTGCCAACTTGTGGGCGAAGAGGCTGCCGGACAGAAGACGACTGCGGTGCAAAGGCCCTGGGGCCAGCCCAGAGAAGCCGCACGGGGCGGGGAGCC